AATATTGACGATGTGATTTGCGAACAATCAATAAAAAGAAAAAAAAGAAGAAAAAAAAGATCCGGAACTTGAAGGGAAGAGACGAAGAAAGACAGAAAGAGAGAACGGAAAAATAGTACAGACGTATTGATATTGTTTAAAAGAAAAGAAAAAAAAAACAAACAACCACTGTTTGTCATTTGGAGGAAAAAGGATTGCGGTGTGTTTGAAAACACCGCCACACGGTGTAGCAGTACCCGGTACAACAGAAATCTAGAATCGGACTGGAATGAAATAGAAATTCGAGTTTCAATTTTGGCTCCAAGGTTAGTAATGCGTCGACAATTTTAAGTATACGATTTTCAAAAAAAGAAAAATCAAATAATATAATTCTTTTATCGAGATAAGGATAGAGACGCGAACAAGATCGTTTTTTTTTTTAAATTCCTCCAGTGAGTCCATGATGGCATTTAATGTTGAATTTCAGGATAGATTTAATTTTTCTCGTGCTACCAAACCGGTTGGATATGATTCATTTTTATCAGTCAGTTCTCCAAACTGCACGAAATAAATCCAGATTGTTAGTATAGTTTATGAGACATACGCTACGTTCAAGCAAAACAGCAAGTCACGATATTATTAAAATGACATTAAAATGATTCGGAAATTGAAAAATGATCAATTTAATGAGCATTTTAGAATTATTTTAAACATAATTTTTAATATCATAATGACTTGTTGTTCTGCTTGAGCAAAAGTAAATATAGTTCGCTTGAAAATCTTCGGTAAAAATAGGATGATTGAATTTTCGACACTGCTTGTTATATGACGCTTTAAGTACATACGCGTATTCGAGATAACGCAGTTATAAAATTTGTTCCGTTCTTCTACGTGATTGTGCCGAAAAGGAAAGAATTTTTTAAGTTTCTTCAGTTATGATCGCAATTCTGGAAAATCTCTTTACAACCATCAGTTGCATTTGTATTATACAAAGAGAAGATCAACGACGGAAATTCAGAAAAAGAAAAATCTGACAAAGGCAGAAAATTAAACAAACACATTATGCACCTCTTACCGATCGCTGATTAAGGATAGTCCGTGCATCGCTGTCATTATATCTGAGTTCTTGCTACGGAACATTATCGCGAATGTCTCGATGCATCACGTAATTAGGTGTACTAAATATAAGGAATGACTATTAATAACAATAGAAGCATATATCGTCTGTCGACTACTTCGTGCGTGATCATAATGGTCGGTAAATGCGAATTATCAACTGTTGATGCGACCAATTACATTCATTCAGCATATGTTATACTGTAAATAATCGTAATAGTAGGAAGTACTCCAATCAAAATGAAGTTGAAAAATTTCGAATTTGAGGAAATCCTTGATCCAACTTCTAAAGTCTTTTCGTTTGGCTATATTTCATGTATTTGTCTATAATATTTGGATCGAATTTCATTACTTTGACGTTGATTGACTGTTGGACTTTATATAGAAAGATAACGGGCGAGATTAGCCCAATTGTAGCTTTCCTCATCAAATATTGATGAAATCATCGTTTATGAGATGTTATTTTATCTATCTTCAGAAGAATTGTAGAAGCGTAGCGATTAAATTTCGCGGTATTGACGAATATGCAAGTAATTTTTCAAACATTTGACATAGAATAGCCTTGGTGATTTGAATATTAATTAGCAATGCAAATTGTACTGAGAACAGTAATGAAAACCGATATCACAATCGGTCTTACATTCGGTTTACCAACGGACTTTCCGCTTGTTAACGCTCGCGACTCTGCAATTGACCCTGATTGACCAGAAAATAACAGAACTTCGAACCCGTAATTTCATGTGACTAGAAATATAGTATATCTACTGCCAAATAAACTCTAACACCAGTAAAGACACTTTTTTATAATAACATCGTAAGAATCAAAATGTGATTGTATATAAAAATAGAAATGAGACACGCACACACACACACACACACACACACACAGAATATTCCGTAATAACGCTTAAGGGGAGACTCCTAAGATCATTTTGAGACGAAAATCTTAATACGAAAATGTTGAAAAAAAAGTTTTTTAACATAATAAATATTAATAATTAGAAATATTAATAATTTTATCTCTGTATGCATAATATTTATATAGATATTAATAAGAAGCGACAACGAACTTTTGCTTTTAGCACTTTTTACGTAGTATCATGAATGCCCAAGGTAATATGATTTATTATACTTACTTTATATGTTTATAATTTTAAAGACCATATATTAACCTCGATATATTTTTGGTATTAGAATTTTCGTCTTAAAATGATCTCAGAAATCTACCATTAAGTATCATATATATAACAAGATACCATGTATATATAAAACAACTGGAAATTCGTAATAATGCAGCGACTTATATTTTTCAGTCCCCTTTTTGAGTTAATTCTTTTTAGTCGTGATTGAAAATCCCTTTGATTAGATCATCTTCCTCTGATTAGGCCGTAATCTAATATACGAATAATTGTAATTCACCTCGCTCGTTAATGTAGAACCGAAATACGAGATTTGAGGGATGGCATCGTAAGCTGTGGAACTGAGAACACACTGCTACGATTTTCATTCAACATTTAACAAGACCAAATTACTAGCACGTGCGAAGAAGTCACAGGCCAGTGGCTTCTCTAACAGGGAAACGTTAACGATGGCGGGCATTGACGATATGTTTGCAATATCCTTTGCGATCAATTGATGACGTGACATACATCCTTGATGTATCTTTATTATAACGCGTGATACTTAATTACTGCCCCTTGCACTGATAAACGCTGGACCGTAAAACGCGACTTGTACAAGGTGAATAAAGAACCGAGCGCAATATTTCTGGCGACGCGCCAGTCGCTAGTCCTTGCAGCAGGACCAGCGGATTAAAAATATCGTCGACTTAATCTGAAATATGACTCACATTTTTATGCTGATCTAAAAGAAACGCAATACGTAATATGATGCAAAAGTATAGTGATTGCGAAACAATTTTTTTCTTGTCCATGAAAGAATGAATTGTATTAAACGTGAAATAATTAACATAATTATTATAATTATATGCGAAAATCTTTGTCATTGTAAGCAGCCGCAATCAATAAGGTCAATTAAGTTTCATGTATACCGTCGATTCTCTAATATCTGTCATTGAATGGCACTTACGATTTAAATTAGTAGTAGTATCAATAGCCTGATTAACAAATGTCAATAATGGTGCAATTAATTAATAGAAAGACTACAAAAAAAAAAGAATTAGAGAAGTTGAAATATTAACATTTTTGACAAAAATAAAATAACTAAATAGATAATAAATTATGTATTCATATATGATAAATTAATGTACCAACGTAATGTGATTAAGATATGCTAAGAATATACATGCTAAGAAGAATTGTATTTTATAATAATTATATGTTGCGGTATATGCATGTTTAAGAGGTTTAGTTGAGCGTAATGCATCATTTCGAATGCATTGGATAGATTTAGCTCTTTGATTTCAGTAAAGATGATAGCTGTATCGGAAAGAGGATACTTTCATTGGATCGATTGGTTGGTGTTCGCACTTATGCTCTTCGTGTCTGCTGCAGCCGGCTTATGGCACTTCAGAAGAGCGCAAAAGTCGAGCACACAGGACTACCTGCTTGGAGGAAGGAGCTTAGGACTCTTTCCCGTGTCCGCCTCTCTCGTCGCCAGGTAAGCTTGGTTCGTCATTCTACACGATTTAAGACTATTGAAAGAAAAAAAAAAGGAAATAAGGGATGAATGAAAAACGAGGATTTAAAACATTCTGAAGCATAGCGGAAGAATTAAAGAGAGTTCGTTAGTGTTAAAAAATTAAACAGTTTTTGTTATCGCCATCGTAAATTTCATATCTTAATTCGGCATAAAGACTCTTTTAATATATTTTCGTATAATTTTCGTACATTTTCAATGTTCACGTCAATTTTGAAGATTAATATTACATAAAGAATGATCTTACAAAAGTATCTAAAAATTTAGCTAGATACAGATCTGAAATTAATCTTGTTACAAAAAAAATTTTATAGGATGTTCAAACTGGTTGCTAAAATGTCGAAACTTTTTGTAGCATTACTCATTGTACTCGAGATTCCTTTAAAATTATTTTAATGGTTCAACAAAATTACTTTCAGATTTGTATCGAGCTAAATTTTTAGGTACCTCATCAAAATCATTCTTTTCGTGTAAAAAAATGATTCGTCTCTCGTATTTATCGTATAATTCGGGCTTGATCGATTAGTTATACAGAATATTTAATTCGATCGTAACTGTAGTTTCATATCAGGCGTGACGATTTTGGGCACTCCGGCGGAGATCTACAACTTTGGCACGCAATATTGGATCACGATCTTCTCGATTCTTTTCTCCGGTATCGTGGTCGCTACTGTATATCTTCCTGTCTTTACTGCCTTACAACTTAACTCCGTTTACGAGGTTAGTTCTTTCCATTTAATTCCGTTTAGTATACCTCTCGATATGGCACAATTTTCACGGTCCTCTTCTTTTAGTATCTGGAAATTCGATTCAATCGCACCGTAAGGATTCTGATTTCTTCAATTTTTGTTTTTGACGTGGTAAGTTTACATCTGGCCTGTTTATGCTTTCGTGACTGATTTCAAAGAGTAAATTGAATACGAATCAATTAATTTCAGATTCTTTACCAATCAATCGTAGTCTATGTCCCTGCATTGGCATTGAATCAAGGTACTTTATATAGCTACACATTATTCACGTTAAGATTTTAACCTACTTCCATTAAAACATCCGATAATTCATTGTAGTGAGCGGAATCAATATACACTTGATCGGAAGCATCGTATGTGTCGTATGTGTTTTCTACACCGTTCTGGTAAGTTGCGATATTTTGTGCCAACTTAATTTTTTTTTTTATTAACTTTCGATCAACGAATTATTTCTGTTTTTCACTTCGTAAATTAAGGTGAAAATATAAAAATTGAAATGAAAGGATCGTAAGATCGTCATATTATACTTGAATGTTAACAAGAATAGTATACGCAGGGGGGATGAAAACGGTTGGAAAACTAGATGGCGGTCGAGAGAACGGAAGCCTAAGCTAATTTTCCGGGGGAGGCTCGTTCGCCAAATTCCCGCGGGATGGCTGGAGTTCCTCGGACACGGTCTACCGTAGGAAACAATTTTCAGTGGACAATGCCGCGAAGAATCTCACGCGAGAGCCTTAGTACTGGAAATGTTTATGGACGGAAACTGAAAGCCCGACAATAGCGCGGGGGAAACAATGGCGCGGAGAACGTCGAGCGGATGTTATCGTAGCAGCGGATCACAAAGCCGGCGCTGAAGTGATTAATCGCGGGATCGCGCGCCTGTAATTATCCGAGCAATTTGTTGGATCTCGTATTAATGAGAATTTATCGTGGTTGAGTGGCTCTTTACAAATTTGTTTATTATATGCCGCCTGCGCACGCGCGAGCATACTGTGGACTGTATGCAATTGCAGGCACTCGAAAAAGCATTCGTCACTAACGCACATTCTTCAGAAACAGATAATACCGCCGAAATACCGCTTTTTATCGGCAGATTGAGGAAGTCGCATCAATCAAATC